GTGTCTGGCAACGGATCGCAACCCTCAGTGTTGCCCCCGTACCGGACCAGGGACCGGCAACGGGATTGCAAACCTCGGTGTTGCTCCCACGCCTCGCTCAGCCAGTGAGCGGGAGCCGGTCTGTATGTGGGATCCGAACCCTCGGGCGGCAGCGCTGCCGCGCCTCCCAAGCAGCGCACTATCCAGTGCGCCACTGGGCCGGCCCAATAATAAAATATTTTATAGTAAGTTTTAATAATATAAACATCCTTCTAATCTTCATCGAGACACATAAATGGACCTTGGGCACCTGTTAGAATCTCCTGATGTTCCCCTCCCTGACTCATCTCCATCCTGCCCCATAGGTGATGATTTTGATTCTTTGCTTGTTCTTCATCCGTTTACTCTCTATTTTTTTTCACTAAGCAGTGTTCTGCTGCTTTTACTTTCTTTGACCTTTCAAGAAATGAGTATTAAAGTATGCAATTACACTGGAAGGTTTTTTGATGGTGTCATGGCCTCTGTATGTTTCACATATGGTAATGTTTGAGGCTGCAGGCCATCCAGTTTACTTCTCCATTCCAGTGGTTACTACCTCAGTGTGGGCCTCTGTGTGTGCTCAAAACTGGTGGGAAGCAGCCCTGAGGCTCATGAGTGTAAGGATTTTGTGGAGGTCTAAGTCTCCATGCCTTATTCCTCATCCTGAGCTCTAACTTCCCAATAATTTTCTAGACTCATGAAACAGGACAGAAAAAAAGGAAAAACTGAGTCTGTGACACAAACGTGTTGAAATTAATACTTCTGCAAAAGAACATTTTTATTCAACCAGCAGAATTTGAGTATGTTTGTCTTCCTGGAGTACTTCAGGACAAACACGCCAGCTGCTTCTTGTTACAATTTGGATTTCCACAGGCTTCCTGGCTTCTCGTGTTTGCTGATGGCAATAGAAGTAAAAGTGTACAGATCTTAAGGGTGTATTTATTCATTAATACCTTATCCAGACTTGACCCTGGTTTTCATGAAATGGTGAGTGATATGGTGTGTAATAAAGTAGAAAATGATAGAGTTGTTTTCAGGAGGAATTTGATGTTGGAGGTAGAGTCTGGGAGGCCTGATAGTCGGCCTCACCCCATCCAGTCCAGGGTTCTTGACTCCACCACAGGAAAGAATTCAAGGAAAGAATTCTCACAGTAGAAAGTGAGAACAAGTTTAATGTAACAGATAAGAAATACAGGTTCCACAGAGTGTGGCCTAGCTCCAGGGACTGAGCAGGGCCCACACCGAGTTTAACACAAAAGTAAGTTCAGTACAGACATCAATCACGCCTAACACAAAAGCAAGTAAAAGATATGTTCAGTACAAAGTACAGGCTGGCTCAAGAGAATGAGCAGGTGTTTGCTGAAAGTAAGTTAGATATAAAGTAAAATATACACCACTCAGTCAGCCAAATATACACCCCTCAGCCAGCCAAGTGCAGTTACCTCTAGGAAAGTGAGCAACAGTCACCCCGCCTTTGGCTGGGATTTGGCTTTCATAGTTTCTGTATCTAATGAATATTCAGTTAAAGGGGTGGGTCCAAGTTATATGCACCAAAATGTTCTGTGCTCTCTACTGAGCATGCCCAGCCACTGGGGTGCATAAGCCAGCCCCCTGTGTTCTCATTTTCCCCATGTTGATGCTAAAAATAGGTCTAACTGGCAACAGTAACTTTCCTCCAGGGGAGCTCACAGGAGGGGACCTGAGACCTCAGGGAGTAGCTGGAAACCCAGAGGTCTGTCCTGAAACCCAAAGCCATGGAAACTGAGCACCTCCTTTATCAAATTGATGTTCTTAAAATGTGTTTTATTTGGGGCCGGCCCGGTGGCGCACTGGATAGTGCGCCGCTTGGGAAGCGCGGCGGCGCTCCCGCCCGAGGGTCTGGATCCCACATACAGACCGGTTCCCGCTCACTGGCTAAGCGAGGTGCGGGAGCAGCGCCGAGGGTTGCGATCCCGTTGCCGGACACAGAAAAAGACAAAGACAAAAAAAAAAAAAAAATTTGTTTTATTGGTATGGCATTTCTCTCATTTCTCCAAAGTGGTTTTGTTCCTGCCATTAGAGAACAGTAAGACTTTAAGTGATTATGTGAAAATGTGGAAGTAATTTCTATGTGTTTATGATACTGTTAAATCTATGAGGAAATGAGGATGGACAGAGTCAGAGTTCTGACAGCCAAGTCATACAATAAATGTTTGGAGACCACAGAATCAAGTGTGGACTTCATATGAATTGAGTATAGGTCCCCAGTGATGTCTGTCTCACTCATTCTCCTGTATTACATATATGTGATGTTTTAGGACTCAGTGGCCTTTGAGGATGTGGCTGTGAACTTCACTCAGGAGGAGTGGGCTCTGTTGGATCCTTCTCAGAAGAAACTCTACAGAGATGTCATGCATGAAACCTTCCTAAACCTGGCCTGTATAGGTAATGATAACAACATTCCTTACTTAGTCAATTAGGCGACAAGTGGTTCTTTGCTGGGGACCAGCCCCAGCACAGAGATTGTAAAGGTCCCCACTGGTAAGGAATCCCCCAAAAGGGAGGAAAGGCAGCGTCGGCGATGGATGGACAGCAAACACACAGACTCAAGGGATCTGCTGAATGCTGACACTTTATTGAAGCATGTATACACTTTTTATACTTTTTCTTAAAGGCTACATAATCATTAAAATAATCAGTGAACAATATCATAATATCTCTTTGTAAGTGACATATGTTCTAAGAAAAATAGCATTACAGTTTATTCCCAGAAAAGACAATTACAGGGCCGGCCCAGTGGCGCACTGGAGAGTGCGCCGCTTGGGAGCGCGGCGGCGCTCCCGCCGAGGGTTCGGATCCCATGTGGAGACCGGTTCCCGCTCACTGGCTGAGTGCGGGGTGGGCGCAACACTGAGGGTTGCAATCCCGTTGCCGGTCCCCGGTACGGGTGCAACACCGAGGGTTGTGATCCCGTTACTGGTCAGTAAAAAAATACAAAAAGGAAAAAAAAGAAAAGACAATTACAATGTCCTTTCCTTTGAGCAAGAACGTTACAACCCACTGGTCCCATATAATCATCATTTGTCATCACTTGCAATCATTACCAAAACTACATCCATGGTACAATAGACTTTCTATGACGTTATTAAAACTTGATTCACACCTACATCTAACTATTCTTTATTCCTAATAAACACTCTAAAAATTAACTTGCTTAAAACTTAACTTCTATTTCTATTGTAAAATAAAAAGATTTTTTTTTTAACTCATTCCAAGCAGCCAGGCCAAATTCTCAGGCAACAGACAAGGCGAATGCCTACATAGGTTCGTTGTCCCCTTCTGGCCCCCACTGCCACAAACCATCTCCCGAAAATCCATAATCATAAGTATCATTAGTATGATTAAATATTTTAGTATAATTTTGAATCCCCCTTCCAAGTCTCCCAGAGCGATAATTATGAGGCAGCAAAGAATAAAATATAATAAAGCAAAGCAAGCACACAGAGCTCCAGAAAATAAGGGTGGAACACTGGCATCTTCTTCCACGATGAGGCCTTGCAAGCATCGTCCCACGATGAGACCCTGCAAACACTGTGTTACGTTAAAAGATCTTTATCAGACTTTAGTCTTTTGGGTGGGATGCGCCCCCGCAGTTCTTGCTCATCAACTGTGTTCCAAGATTTTAAATGTAGAAAAAAATATATACTTTAGTCAACCAAACAGACAGAGTCAGTGTTAATCAATGATTTAGATCTTATAATTGTTCTATAGTTTCTAGTAATTTGTAATAATTTTTCTGGGTCTGCATTTTAGGGAAAAACTGGAAAAACCAGAATATTGAAAATGAGTACAAAAACCAGGGGAGAAATCTAAGGTGAGTGGCACTCATAAGAGTAAGTGGTGGTGCACAAGGGAATCTTAGTATGTCACGAAATTTCAAAAACAAAAAAAGGAAAACAGTACGCCCAACTTTACATTCATGTAGTTTTTGGAAATTTTCACCAAAAATGTTTCCTTAAAAATGTCATAGGTGTTCCATCTGTGAAAAATAATTCATTTTGAAACAGTATTAAGAAACCCCATACATAATAAATATGTCTATTTTGGTAATAGCTATGGCTAAGCCCTCTTCCTGAGCATTGAGTGTATTCACTTGCACACAGTCCAGACAGAGCAGAAACTTATACTTTCCCTGAAAATAGTTAACATGTTACTCTAATACCTAAAAATAAACATAAAATCATTAATTAAAAATCCCACTAGTAGTGTGCTACTCAGTTTATACAGAAATCATGGTAGAGGGACACAGTGAAAGAAAAGAAGATGATCAATGTGGAAAAATCACCAGCTAGACTCCCAATCTTAATCTGAACAGTCTTAATCTGGAATAAAACCATGTAAATGCAGTGTGTGTGGAAGTTTTTATGCTTTATTCATTTCTTAATAGGTACCTCAATTCTCACACTGGACAGAATCCAAATAAGTATCAGAAGTATGAAGAGAAGCCATATAAATGTGAGGAATTTGAGAAAGACTTTAACCCTCCCAGTTCATTTCGAATACATGAAAGGACTCAGGCTGGCAAAAAACCCTATGAATGTAAACAATGTGATAAAGCCTTCAGATGTCCCAGTTCCTTCAGAATACATGAAAGAGTTCACAGTGGAGAGAGACCCTATGAATGTAAGGAATGCAGGAAAACCTTCATTTCTCTCCAAGGAGTTCAAAGACATATGATAACACACAATGGAGATGGTCCTTGTAAATGTAAGGTATGTGGGAAAGCCTTTCACTGGCTCAGTTCACTTCAAATTCATGAAAGGACTCACACTGGAGAAAAACCCTATGAGTGTAAACAATGTGGTAAAGCCTTCAGTCATTCCAATTCATTTCGAAGACATGAAAGGATTCACACTGGAGAGAAACCCTATGAGTGTAAACAGTGTGGTAAGGCCTTCAGGTGTTCCGGTTACACTAAAATGCATGAAAAAATTCACACTGGAGAGAGACCCTATGAATGTAAGAAATGTGGGAAAACTTTCATTTCTCTCAAAAGAGTTCGAAGACATATGATAACACACACTGGAGAGGGACCTTGTAAATGTAAGGTATGTGGGAAAGCCTTTGACTGTCCCAGTTCAATTCAAAATCATGAAAGGACTCATACTGGAGAGAAACCCTATGAGTGTAAACAATGTGGTAAAACTTTCAGTCGTTCCAGTTACATTAAAATGCATGAAAGAATTCACACTGGAGAAAAACCCTATGAATGTAAACAGTGTGGTAAATCCTTTAGTCGTTCCGGTTCCATTAAAATACATGAAAGAACTCACGCTAGAAAGAAATCCTATGAATGTAGGAATGTGGGAAAGCCTTCAAATTTCTCACTTCCTTTTGACATAAAAGATATCTCATCATACTGGAGTGAAACCTAATGAAGGAATGTGGGAAGGCTTACATATCATACAAACTTTTGAGCACACAAGGGAATACATAATGGAGAGATACCCTATGAATGTCGTAATGTGGATAAAAGCCTTCTGTCTTCCCAGTTCAATTCAAAGCTATGAAAGAACACACACTGGTGAGAAACCCCTTGAATATATAAGCAGTGTGTAAAAGGTGGCTTAGATCCTGGCAAAAAGATGTACACACTGAATTGAAACCCTGTTAGTTTTTAAAACACAGGAACATTTTCAATTTTAGCAAATACATGAAAAGTCATGTGAAAACTCACATTGCAGATCAGTCCTATAAATGTAGGTAACATGAAAAGCTTGATGGAAGTTGATTGATGTGTAATGTTCTAGAAAATTCACAACATGAAAGAAATTTTGTAGAAGTTATAAATATTTGATTTATCACTGTCTCATTCTTTAAATGGGTGTATGGGCTATTGATTTCTACTTTTCTTTCTTTATATCCTTATTCTATATGGCCTTTAAAAACAAAAAAACTATTTTGTTTAAAAACTAAGACAAACACACATTAGCCCAGGCCTACCCAGGGTCAGGATCATCAGTATCACTGTCTTCCAACTCCACATCTTGTCCCAGTGGAAGGTCTTCAGAGGCATTAACATGCATGGAGCTGTTGCTTCCTATAATAACAATGCCTTTTTATAGAAACCTCCTGAAGACTCTACCTGAAGCTTTTACAGTTAATTTTTTTTTATGAGTAGAAGTACACTGTAAAATAACGATAAACTTATAGTATAGTAAATACATAAACAGTAACATAGTTGTTTATTATCATTGTCAAGTGTTGTACTCGTATATAATTGTAATCGGGCTCCCACAATCCCCTCCTCACATGTAAACAATTTGCTAGAATTACTCATGGAAATCAGCAAAACACTTAAGTTTATCAGTATATTACAAAAGATGCAACTCAGGAACAGTCAAATGGAAGTGATGGTTAGGACAGGGAAGAGGGGGATGGGCAAAGCTCCCCGTCTTGGGGTACACCACCCTTCCAGCACATCAGAGTGTTCACCAACCTACCAGCTCTCTGAATGTCTCTGTTCAAGAGATTTTTTAAGAACTCAAGTCTATAAACTCCTTCCCCTTCGTAAGGATGAGGGCTAGAGATTAGATTTCCAACCCTCTAATCATGGGTTTGGTCTTTTTGGTCACCAACGCCCATTGTGATCCTATCCAGAGGCTCCACCTTGCCACTCCACTAGCATGTACTCTAGCATGGTCTGAAAGGGACTTGATACAAATAGCAAAAGATACTCTTATCACTCAGAAATCCCAAGGGATTTAGGACTTCTGAGCCAGGCACTAGGGACAAACACCAAATATATATTTTTTATTATACCAAAAAAGCAAATAAACTCTCAGATTCATAAACCTTTTTACCAAGGCCTAGAACTCAAAGGTGTCTTTCTCTAAGTGAGACCCTCACAGATGTTCTCGTTTTGCATAAATTACACTCTGACTAAACCAACTCTGGCAATGCAGAACCAAAGTGCAGACACTGTTGAATTTGACCCAAGGTCTGTAATCCTGATAAATAGCTATGATTAAAGAAACACCCACCACCACCATCCTTGGTGTTCTGGAAAAGCAGGCTTCTGCAAGAAAAATCTTTCTCATTGGGACTTAGGTTATGTCCCTTTTTTAGCCATGACAAAGCCAGGCACAGACTTTATAAATTTCCACTTTTTGCCTCATGAACCATTAGCTAAGCATTTTGTTTTCACTAATCACTTGTAACAAAATACTTGTTAGCCAAACTTTGGTTAAGTTTCTCTCCTTCCAGCCCCTGAACTTAGTCCTACCTTCAGCATCCTGAGCTGGCACAAAACCCTCTTTTGCCCTCCTGAGAACAGGCTGACCACAGGGTAAAACATTCTCTGATCTAGGATCTTATTTTGTCATCTTCCATCATGCCCTCTGCCTCCTACCTTCTTTGTAATCTTGTTTGCTCCTCCCTGGTAAAGAAAAGTCTTTTTCTGCCTCAACATTGAGAAGTTTGCAGATCTTATACTTGGTACATTTCCCTATAACAATATTCCTTTAGCATAAGGTTATTTCTTATCCAAATCCAGATGTGTTTTTATTTTGAAGATTCCTAGAAATGGTTCCAGGACAGTAACAATTACAACTTCAGAAATAGCATTATCCATCCAACCACATCTGCCTCTGGTTCCACAGCTTTCCAGTGCTCTGTAGCTTATCAGCATAAGGACTCCTTTCACAGTCAGTGTGAGCAGGCTGGGACACATGCAGGGGAGGCTTCTCAGGAAGAACCAGCTGGGCCTTCAGTGACCTCCATCTGCAGGCTCCAGTATGGCCTTAGCTCAGCCTCGGGCTTTTGCTGTCCAGATGACTGTTCACTTACTTTTAAACAACAACATATTGAGTGAAGAATCCAGGAAAATCATTCAAATTCACTGTTTATATCAAAGGAAAGGAAATTGTAAGACATCTATACTTTATAGCTCAACAGCAAAAAGTACAAAATGTCTGCCCCTTTCAGACAATAAAGATGATTATTTCCATGACAAATCATTTAGTAAATGATCATACTTGAATACTTCTAAGTGTTGCCAAGTCCTGTTACATAGGATTTAGCATTAATCTCCAGTATCCAGATAACAGGAAACAACAGATTGTCACAAACTCTTCACCCTGAAAAGGAAAGGAACTAATGTTTTTGTGAATCCTCTATAATTCACCAATTTCTACCACACTTTTTGATAGGAGAGAGATTTTCCCTAGTCTATTCCTTGATTAATGTAATCCTTGGAATTCCATTTGAATTCATCCATCAGAAAAGAACAGATCTCTTGCAACAAAACAAGGATGCCCACTTTCCCCACTCTTATTCAATACAGTACTAGAAGTTCTAGCCTGTGCAATAAAGCAAAAGAAAGCAATAAAGGGCACCTAAATCAGAAAGTAAGAAGTCAAACTAACCCAATCTGCAGATGACATAATTCTATACATAGAAAACCCTAAGTATTCCACCAAAAAAATCACTAGAACTAATAAATGAATTCAATATAGTGGCAGGATACAACACACAAAAATCAATAGCCTTCCTATACACCAATAATGAAATAGGTGAAGAAGAAATCAAGAAAGTAGTACCATTCACAATGGCTTCCAAAAATATATCTATACTATAGATCTGGAAGTAAATTTAACTAAGGAGGTGAAAAACCTCTACAGGGAAAACTATAAAACATTGGTTAAAAAATTGAAGAAGACACAAATAAATGGAGAGATGTCCCACGTTCATGGGTTGGAAGAATTAACATCATCAAAATGTCCATATTACCCAAAGCAATCTACACATTCAATGCAATCCCTCTCAAAATATGAATGACATTCTTCACAGAAATAGAAAAAACTACCTTAAAATTTGGATGGAACCACAAAAGACCAGTATAACTCACCCCAGTTAGAATGGCTGTTACCAACAATACAGAAAATAACATGCAGTCAAGGACATGGAGAAAAGTGAACCCTCTTCTGTTGGTGGGAATGTAAATTGGTACAGCCATTGTGGAAAACAGTTTGAAGGTTCCTCAGAGAACAAAAAATAGAGCTACCTTATGATCTAGCTAGCCCACTGCTGGTATATACCCAAAGGAAATGAAATCAATATATCAAAAAGACATCTGCAATCACACGTTCATCACACCGCTATTCACAATAGCCAGGAGATGGACTCAACCTAAATGTTTATCAATGGATAAAAAACTATGATTGATATATATACACAATGGAATACTATTCAGCTATAAAAAGAAATGGTATATCATTTGCAGCAACATGGATGGAACTGGAAACCATCATGTTAAGTGAAGTAAGTCAGGTACAGAAAGATAAATACTTCATGAACTCACTCGTGTGGAATCTTTAAAAAAAATGTTCTCATAGAAGTAGAGAGTAGAATAATGGTTACCAGATGTGAAAAGGAGGCAAGGAGGGGGTGGAAATGGAGAAGGGGTGGACTAACAAGCACAAAACTATGCTGTCTATTCCAAGTAACTCATTGTACAGTATATATATGCATGTATTGGAACAACATACTGTACCCCACAAAAATAAAATTAAAAGAAGAACAGATCTCAGAAACTTACTACACATTCTCTGGGAAACAAAAACCATACAAAAGAATTTTCAACAAGTGAAATATGACTAGATCTTTTTCTTCTGAAATCCTCTTTCTTACCACTTTGTGAATATTTTATCTTTCAAGCTCTGTTGATAAAATACATTTCACATTTAATAAAAGACAGAATCAAATAAACAAATCATTTCAAGGTGACAAGCCCAAGGAGGGGCAGTGCAGACTGGAACACAGACTTGGGTGACTTAAATGTGAGGTCAGGTCATTGTACCATGTGGAACATCCCCATTCTCTTCCTGGTCACTGAAGTGCTTGCTCCCTGACCACCATCCCCAAGAGACAGGGAATTTTGTCCTCTTGTGTACCTGAATTGTATTTTGCTTTTCAGATTCTTCCATCACCTCAATGAGGTGCGTTTTCCTTGTCCTTTGTTGTAGTTTTTCTCCCTTCACTAGGCTGAGAGAATCCAGAGGCTAGAAATATTTCTGTCTTTTCCCCTCAATATCATTATTGAATTGGCTGACCGCCAATGTGAATCCAAGCAATGGAGAGTGGGGCTGGCAGAAGGAAAGGTTAGTGTTCCCCAGGGTTAGCTTCTTAAACAAAGGCTACACCACAGAAGACTCCTCCCAGCCCTAGGGCATTGATCTGCTCCCCTGAGAGACCCCACCTCCATACTTCAGGCTGTCCTGTGAGAGGAGATGATCAAGGGGCTGACATTGACTAGACGCTCCAAGAGACATGGCAGCTGTGGACATCTTGAGTCAGCCCCAGGCAATTCTGAAACCCCAGACCACAAATAGATAGGAGGGTGGGCTGAGGACACATGACCCTGTAAAATTTCCAAAGGAGAATCTCAACACAAAGACATTCTTTGAAGATGACTGTGCTTAGGAAAGATAAAAGGAGGAGGCGCAAAAATATTTATCAGAGAGGAGTTTCAGATGGCTATGCTCTCCTTTCCTGACAGGTGAAATGTTCACAAAGAGAAAATAAATATTTTATTTTTACTTCTTAAAAGAGTATACTTATTAACTACTTTTACAGTGTTGGAAACAAAATAGATAATTGTTTTTCAATGTGCTCAAATCCTCAAAATATACATAACTATCTGAGAAATAAGAAAATCAACTATATCACTTGTCAACGTAAAGTTTATATTTGAACTTTGGGACCTGATGTTCAGGGTGGAGTTTTGAAGTTCTGTATTTCTTAGTCCACCTGCTTTTGTTCATTTTGTTTCTTAAATTTTAAATTTTTATTCATTGCTACTACATTTAAAAGGTTATTATG